TTATCAAAATAATTGGCGCAGTAATCATTATCTTCTTCACCAAAATCATCATCAGAAGGTACATTGCTGCCAGGAGCTTCAGCTTCAGACTTCTCAGAACCTTCTTCATCCTAAAAGCAGAGTTTTCAAGTATGAATTGAGGGTGTTTTCACATAAACTACCTCTATTTCCTCTTCGTTCACACCATCCTGTTGCTCAGCCTGCTCCAGTCTCATAAGCTTCTGCTGAATGACTTCTGTTGTGTCCTCCATCTTTCGTTTCTTTGCACTAGGAACGCGGGCTTTTTCATTTCGCCAGCATAGCTCTTCAGGCAGTCGTGCGAAGTCTGAATCAATGGACGCTAACAAACAAATAAATGAACAAGGATAATTCTAACCTGGTTCAAGACGTTCTCGCTGTACCTCATTGTACTTGTCGGTGTACCTCCTGATATCCTTTATTTGCACATTGTCCAGATAAAATGGAGATTCTTGGAATCTTAATGCTCGTATGACTCCGAAGTTGTTAGTGCGACAATGAAAACAATTACCTATTTATTAGCTCTAACTTCAGCTCTGAGATATATTGCAATTCGTTAGAAAGTTCTAGGGGGATGAGTGCCCGCTGAACTGTCTAAAAATAATTATAATTAAGTGACTAGACGAAACTCGATACATACTTGAAGCACAGACAAAACGGGTGGATTCAGCGGAGAAAGCTAACGGTATAGTGTGGCCGGTATGCTACTAAAAGATAGTGCAACTAGGAAGCCAACCTCGAAAATTCAACTTCTAATGTAATTTTGATTTCGTGTGAACATTCGAAGGTAGAGCTATAAATCACCATTTTTCGTAGCGACCGTTGACTGTAAAAACTTCCAAAAGGTCATAAAAACTATCAAATGTCAATCCCGTTAGATTCCACATCAAAAAATTTGCCAAGACAACTAAAAAAATCAACAGGTAAAATGTAAGCGGCTTGATATACTTCAAAAACTTAGTCTACTTTATTATGATGTCCAACTGATGACATACTGGATAATCTGGAGGATCCTCCACGGTTCTTTGATTGGCATAGATCGCCATATCATTTCTAGCAATTCCTAAAGCCTGAGCGACTGCCCGGATGGTTGTGCCTGGCCCGCCTCCCCTACCTCGACCACGCCCACCCATCTAAACTGGTGAAAATAGAACTTAGAAAAAAAGTTATTGCAGCTACTCACATAAAGCATGGAAGATGAGATAGTTGGCAAAAAGCCATAATCTGATATTCAGTGAGATATGACTGTACATTTATTCAAACAGATTTCTCAACGTACACACTGTGACAGAAACGTTGTAAAAAACATCTTTAAATAACACTAGTGATTAGCCTGGATGAGCTAACAACCGGCAGTAACTGTCGCGATCCATCACAATGTCCTAGTGATATATAATGCACTACATTGCAAACTA